AAAAAAAAAAAAAAAAAAAAAAAAAAAAAAAAAAAAAAAAAAAAAAAAAAAAAAAAAAAAAAAAAAAAATACGCTTTAAAATCGAATTGAATTTTTTCTTACATTTTGATATTAATTTTTTCCTTGTCTTTTCAATAACAAACCACTAAAATTGTTTAACCGTACCTGTTTTTGAATTAAATAAATTCTGTTACTAGGACTGATATTCAAAATCGTTTGTCATTACGTCATGATATATATATAAATGTTTTTTTTTTTTAAAAAAAAGCAAACTATTTTAAACAAAACAATAAGAAACATTATGCAGTTGATCACATCCGTAACCTTGGCAATGAAACAAAAACGTAGTTTAAAAAGAAGAAATATCTTTTACCTGAAATGTAGGGAGTCGCCGTTATCACACTTATCATGGGCTGAAACTTCGTTTCAGTCTGTTTATTTTTATGTTTCACCCGTTAAAGTTGCAGAAAAGGTTCCTTTCGAGATATCTCACAAAAGTCGGTGTTTTTAAAGCACCATGAGTTTTGTGTTTAACATTTTCCTTGAAAACCATCAGGAATCTTACAGTGTGGTTGTATGGAAAATGCAACAGGATTTTCCCAGCCATGGCTCACTGTTCAGAGAATGAAGTGCCGCAGACAAGAGGCGACTCTCTTCAAAAGAGAGGGATTTTGGGGATTTTTTTTCCTCTCACTCTAAACATGCATTATTTATTTGCGATTTTATCAGTGCTGATTGGTCAAAGGGATCGGACCGACCTATAACAAAGGATACTTAGGTACAAACACAAATCCCCGGGAATACAGCCAGTAACAGTACATTGCTTGGAATTCTATCGCATTCGATCATTTTAATTTGGCCAATGTTCGACAGTGATTTTACGGTTCATTCAGGCCATTAAAATCATACGTAAGCACGTTAATCGCATTTCATACTTCCCCTACTCCTTATCAGCAAATGTAAGCATTTCACAAAACTCTCCCATGCTTACGTAAAATTGACGCAACCGTGTTTTTTTGCTTTAATATAATGTAAACTTTTATTATAGTAATATAATTTTATGAATTTTCCGATTAAATTCAAATGAAATATGTAGCTTTGCTTAAAACAATATTTAATTTCTAGTACATCTTATCGAAGCTTCAAACTCCACAAAGAAATTTTTCTGCCAATTTTTCCTTCACGAAATTCGACTTATATTTCAAATTCATATTTCTTCAACAAAAAAACCCTTTTTTAAAAAGCTATGTTACAATTTTTTTAAAAAAAATTGATATATTAGTACGTTTCACAAGCAATCCGCATAGCCCTCGTCCCCTACCTTATCAAAAAGAAAAGAAAAAAAAAAGAAGGAAAGCAAATCACGCAGTCACGCTCCCCCTTTAAATGCTTACCTATTATTTAAACGTCTTCCTTCGTCAAAACAAACAAATAAAATAAAAATACTTTTGCAAAATATTTTAAAATTTTCAAAAGACAAAACAGACAAAAATGTAAACCTTCTCTTGTTTTATTAGTTCTTATTTTTAAAAATAAACGGAATGTTTGGATTTATATAACTATTTATTTTCACACACAAAAATTCTCTCTTCATTTTTTTTAATAATTAATTTATAAACAATACACTCATTAAAAGGAATTTCAACTGGCTCATGAGCAGTCCTCGAACCTGGTCAAATCAATGTACCTAGAAAAGAATCCTAGAGTATAGGTATTAATTTTTTTAACCTTCATAAAAGATAGTGGAAAAATAATTGTAAACGAAATGGGGAAAATTTCAGTGAGTGCTGAATTTTATTTTATTTTATAACCGTCGTTGAACAGCTGACCCAATTTTTGGGTTTACGACTGCTTATGTTCAACTACGTAGCATTGTAATTTTGAGCCTAATCCAGAAGACAAGGGAACTCTTGGATCATGTATTGGGAAAAATTTGCCTTCGAAGAGGAATTTTGATAATAGAATTAACTCGCATTTGCGTTACGCGGAGAGGAAAACCACAAGAACCTCCCACGGTTAGCTTGACGGCAAGGGGACTCATGATCCATCTACCACTGTGGCTATTTCACGTCAGCACTGTGGTTGGTGAAAGCAGGATGCGGAATTCGTATCGACCAACCATCACTGGGATTCGAACACGATTCACCTCACTGTAGGGCGAACGCTCTATCCCCTGAGCCAACGCAGCTTGAGTGATGAGTTTTGAATTCATAACTAACTTGTTCGAAACATAAATATGTTTCTAGAAACATTCATAAACACTTGATTTACTCTTGAAACTATTCTATTATCTAGCCATTATAAGATGAGCTCCTGGCCTCCCTCATTTCACGAGTGCCAGGCAATAAAAGGGATTCATTCGATCGATATGATTGAGTTGTAAAGGCCTCTTTAATTTCAAAAAGCATCCCAAACCATTAAACATCCTTCCTAGCACATTTTTTTAAAAAACTATTGAGGCTCTTTCTGTAATTTATACGAATACGAGTGATCGAGACTTTGTTTTTGTCACTAAAATATTATAAATACATTTTTCTTAAAAAGCATATGAAAAAATTTCCATTTTGACGATTTCTTTTTTTTTCGTTCTTATGGTTTTAAAGAACGGTGACACATTTTTTTCTAAGTACATTCCAATGGATTTCAATGTCTCTGATGCACTAAGATTTGCATCCTGTTAGCATCACTGGCTACGATCAGTAAGCGAGTATGTGACCACTTTGTTCAGCGTGCGTAGGAACCTAGGTTGCTCGGTATCGGTCCTCGTTGAACTTTTCTACCGTAAAGTGCTCAATTTCACGTGCAGGTCGTCCGGCTACCAAAGTAGGGCAGCCATCCCCTCTGCGAGGGTATGTCTTCGGATCATCCTCAGGGATGTTTCCCAGGCCGTCACCAATAGCCCATTGTGCAGCTCTAGTTGCGACGTAAATAAAGTACCTACCTAGCTTCTTAACGTTTATATATTGTGCTAATCACGATACATTTACCTGGAATTTGATGCCATAAAAGCAACTAAGCACGATTAGAAAGTTTTAGTTTTGCATTTATCGATGTCTTATTCTTCATAGGTTTCAATGATTTAATGCATGCAAATTTGTTTTTTCTATCTTCTTATCAAATACTCGACTTCCCTCCCCCCTACCTCAGTGGGTGTCATTAAGCGCATTTAGAGATTTTCATATTTCAATTATTTCTGGTTTTATAAATTGCTTTCAATAGGAAAGAAGTCGCAAATATTTCGTGTAAGGTAGTGTAATGGTTTGGAGTGCTTTTAAAAAATCAAAGAAAAATTCGTATTTGTATTTCCTTTATGTCAAAGAGCATCCTTTCTTTGATATTTTAAATTTAAAAAATTTTTTAAATAAATAAAAAAAAAATTTTGACGAGATTTTGCTAAAAAAGAAAATAACACTAATATTCTTGGAAAACAATGAGTAAATACCCCCAAAACATCTTATTAAGTGCCCATAAAACGATTAACTACACTATCTCATAACCTAAGCTATAGAAATTGTTTTGAATATTTTAGTTTACTGAGCATTTTAGCAAACTCCATTCAATAATGCATAAAACAGATAGAAAGGAAAATTTATGGTGTCGATTTGAATTTTTTCTTTCGAGATAGTATTTGGGTTTGGGGTTGAAATTCAGGCTTTTACTTAAAATTAAAGTAAATTATCTACCTTGAGACTATAATTTGCAGGTAAGAATTTGTAAAAATTTTTACAGTTTCATTATTTTTGACACAATTTTTCTTTTCAATTTTACATAATTAATTAAAAATTTTAATTTTTTTATCATATTATTACATAATTAATATTTCGAATTTAAATTTTCATAACAGTATAAATTAAAGCTCTAATTGATAACATATTAATCGATGTATTTTAATTATTCTACTACATGGAGAGTAAGGTGTTTTAATTTGTTCAATGAAATTTCGCACCGTAGAGTTAAACATTTTCTGAAGAAGAAAAAAAAAAAAAAATCTTCAAAATGACAAAGTTTATTAAGTACGATTTCTTCAAAAAAATAAAAAGAAGGAATTTTTTTTTGTTTCATTGTATTTATCTATTTTTTAAATAAAAAGAATTAATAATTAGAAAATAAAAGAAAGCATTATTTTAAAAATAATGTCTAAAAGCCTTCCCCCCCTTAAAAAGTTATTCATTTGTTTATTGTATTGTACCGTTTTGTATTCTGCAGTGCAATAGAAAAATCAATGTAAGCGATCAAAAAAATTAAAAATTATATTTCTATAAATTTTGCATTTATGCATGGTTAGCTGCATATTTCTAAAATTATCCTTCAAAAATAAATTTTGTTTTATATGAGTATTCTGAAATTCTATTTTAGTGTTTATAGCATTCGCAATAGAAAGAAAATAGTTGTCGAGTCGTTTCTCTGGAAATCTATCACAAAGCACTTACGTTGTTTTTTCAATTGCACGGCAGTATTATATTTTTTATTTATTTATTTATTTTTTTACCTTGTCAATAGTGTAAAGTTTGTGATTAAGGGGTGAAATCGATGAGCAAAAGATGCGTGATAGTCATTATAAAATAACTAATATATATATATATATATATATAGGGTGTCTCACTTAAGCGTTTCAGAACTTCTAAGAGGGGTAGGGGGCNTATATATATATACATAAATCCTTTAATTTTCGTCATTTCTAAAACGAACATGTGGATGCATCACTTTTGATAGACGTGGGAGTTTATTTACAGTCGTGACGGAAGTTTATTGCAAAAGCGATGCCACTACACGTTTTTTATTTTAGGTGTGACAAAAACAAAGTATTTTCTTTTCTACTACATTTAAAAAAAGTGGTTTTAGAAACTTGTTATTATATTATTTTCTTTCATTTTAGTTTTGGGTCAGCTATTTAATCTATTTCTTCTTTATTATTTTTCTATAAAATTCTAAATCATATGATTGATTGCTTTGATATTTAGAGTGCCATTTAGTTTTCTGTAGAAAAAAAGTCGCCATGCATGAAATAAAAAAAATTATTTGTGAGCTCATTTTTATGAATATAATTGCAAAAACAAATTTATTTTTAAAAAAAAGTATACTTTATGTAGATTTTGCATCATTTTTAACCGAATTTGCTAAAGACCTTTTTATTTTTAATATGACTCACAATATTTTTAAAAATTATGTCAAAATGCTTTATCGTTGCGATGAAAAAAGCAGTAAAAAAAAAGAACGGAAAATGAGTGTGCAGGAATTTTTTTTTTTTTTCTTTCTCAGGGAACGAAAAAGTACTCTGGAATTTCTTAAATATCAGAAACATTATGAATTTTTTTCTTCTTTTTTTTTGGGGGGGGGGAGGTTGTTGGAGACGTAAATAAAATCATTAAATCTAATTGTGAGATATAAAGAGAGGAGATTGTATCAAGATTCTAGCTCTAATCTTTCTCTCTCTTTATGGTAAGAGCAGCTCCTAAAGTTATTAATTAACCAAATTTAATCTTAATGTTTAATTATTGACTTACATCTTGGAGAGAACTACTGAGGGGGAAAAAAAAGGGATAAAGTGAAGTGAGTGTAGGGAAATGTTCGAAGAGGTCAGAACTCTCAGGAGCTGTCAAACAATGAAAGGCGGCAGAGGAAACAAGCGCCGCATTGTTGTTCTGACCACTTCTTCCGATCGTTATTATTTTATTTATTTCCCTCTCTCTCTCTCCCTCTCTTGCAAACCGAACGTCGGTTGTGGCGAATCATTTTTTAATGACACCCGGAATTATGGTTTTACAACTGAAATCCC